TAGTTTTAACCTGAATTTGCTTATCTGCACTTTAAAAGGAGAATAGTTTGTGCTTGTCAGAAAAATCATCAAATGAAGAAATCAGATTTCATCCAAGACTGGGAGAGTCTAATGTCACTGATGGTCAGTCACTGAGATAGTTGTCTACTTGCCTCAAATATGTTTTATTGCATTTATTCCTTCATGGATGTTCACACTGATGAATAAGAAATAATGCCAAAACCATCTCACAGAGCTTTTATTTGTGATGATTGATTCAGGCCAAGAAGCTGAGGTTATGTCTGTCTGAATGTAAAATGAAAGAACCTAAACTAAAAGTAAAGAAAGCAGTGTCCATCCTCCTCACTATTTTGTCATTAAACTGTATACCAGGTGAATGTTTGATGTGGTTTGACAAACCACTCACAGTATCCTCTGTGTGTTTCTCACTAGGACGATAAGTGTAATGACAGGACTTTCTCCTAGTCCATTCCACCTCTATTGAGTTCAAGTTTGTTAAAGAAAATTTTTAACAATGGTGTAATGATTGGCCTATGGGGATATGAAGAATGGATCCAGAGGGGACAAGGAAAAATTACAGGTTTGTGATAAAACCTCCATAGCAACCATCACTCCAGAGAACGAATACCTGGAGAGTTTCCTCGATTTAATTGTCTTTTCTTTGCCCAACTCTGCGCTGTTATTAACACCATTTAGAGGTACCCTGATTGCAGACACCTCTCTTGTTGAGAGTGGCGAGTTTGTTTCATGGCTAACAGCTTTCATTTGAGAGTTAATCAGATCCAATCTGGAAATATTGGGGGGTATGATATAGACAATTTCAACCTTTGGCAAGAATTCTTTCTTCCTGGGGCATCGTGGTCAAGGTGAGAGTTCAAGATATAGAGAAAATAGTGATCTTATGGTTTCCTCATTAGACCTATATGGAAAAAGGTTTATGGTCCTCAAATACATTCTTTACTACTTATCACTTATTCCTTCAATATCTACTTGTTCTCTTTCTATCTAATCTTTTTTTAAGTTCTCTGACCATCAGGAAATAGCACTTCTGTAATCTAAACTGACAGATATAACTCTGGGGTGTGGGCTGGATATTGATTCAGTCCAGCAATTTCTTGAGACTATGATTCTTGAACTGTGGTACTTGGTGGTATTTAATGTATGATAATTATATGATCGACTAAAGTTAACAAGGTAATGCTTATAAACTATAACATATCCCAGCCAATCAAGTAATCAGTGAAAAACATTTATTTACTGACTTTCAGAACTTCCTAAGATCAACTATGGTTATCCCAGGTTATCAATAACTAGGAAGTTTTTCTTTTTTTCCCCTTGAGGATTCTGCTTAAAAATAAAAATGTCAATTTTATGATATTTATGATATAATTTCTGTATAGAAAGAGCATAGACAACTCGAAATACATAAAATATATCTGCAGTGTCATCTTTGGAGATTTTGAAGGCTCAAGATATTAAATTAGGTAGCACAGAATAATAGAGAGCGTCCCCTCAGCAGCAGACAGTGTTGATCTCCTGTCTTATTGGCTTTTCTAAATGATAACACTCTTCTTCATTCAACAGTATCCTGGATTTATAAAACTAATTTTGTACCCTGAAGAAGCCTAAAACAATTATGTCCTAAGTATATCAGAATTGGAAAGGGTTTTAATTCACACAGTGAAATATCCAATGAATATTTACATTGGCCACCTTCCCTTCTCCAAAATTTCTTGGAAAGGATACATATATGCAAAAAATAAAGAAAAAGTGAATATCTTGAAAAAAATTTCTTTTCCTCAAGTTCTGTCTCTGAACCCAAAAATAATCCATTTTAGGTAATATTTGAAAATCGTTGATCATAAACTATGATACATACTGTATTTGTCTTTCTGAGTCTGAGTTGATTAGTATAATGATCTCAAAATTGTTAATGTTGTCAAAAAGGCAGAATGTAGTTTTAAGTAATACTCAGTTGAATATAGATGCTATAGATGTGTATATTCAACCTTTTAATTAGTGTTGTATCCTAATAATACAGAGAATTGATCTCCCGGATTCATGGTCTTCTGAATGAATTTACCCCCAAGACTCACTAAGAATACTTCTCATGACAACAAACTTCCTTACCTTCTCTCTTTAAAAGTTACATTTATATTTTCTTAATTACTCTTCTATCAGTGATCTTAATTTCTAAATTTCTTCTCCAAATTCAGACTATTCCTGTACTGACCAAAAGTACTACTACTTAAAGCTCTTCATAGAAAAGGTATTTCTGTTACTTTGTCTATTTTTACATTCAGATTGTGCTGCTAGCCTCATATCCACTGCATACATAAACACCTTTTCAATAAACACTGCTCCTAAACAAAAACTTTTCCTAAATAGAAAACCAATATCTCAAAATTTCAGACTTCAAAAGCCTGAAGTGACTTTGAAGAGTGAGTTCTTGACTTGGGCTTATGTGATGAGGAAGGACTTCCACTCATTGTGCATATCACCTTAACTCCTTTAAGCACCCAGCTCATGAGCAGAGTGATCATTTCTTAATATCATTCTACTTGAGTCAAAATAAGGCTGGAGCGATAGCACAGCGGGTAGGGCGTTTGCCTTGCACGCAGCCAACATGGCCGACCTGAGTTTGATTCCTCCGCCCCTCTCGGAGAGCCCGGCAAGCTACCGAAAGTATTCGATATGCCAGACACAGTAACAACAAAGTCTCCAATGGAGACGTTACTGGGCCCGCTCAAGCAAATCGATGATCAACGGGAGGGCCTTTACTTTACTTTACTCCATCACTCTAGAGACAGAGTCAAAGACAATGTTATTGAATTGGAGGTGTTTTTCTTCATATGAGAAAGTACTCGCCTCCTTGCTCTCATCTCATTTTTTTATAGACCCACTTGAAGTAGATATCACTATTATATAAAATTTAGAGGTGAGCAAGTTGGCATTCAGAAATGTTTAATCTTTGGACATGGATAAAATGGCAGAGTTGGGACTCTTTTCTGACGAGAATATGTATTTTTAAATTCTATTTTAGCTTAAGGATTTTTTTATTTTGCTTCTTGGGTCACACCTGGAAATGCACAGGGGTTACTCCTGGCTCTGCACTCAGGAATTACCCCTGGCAGTGCTCAGGGGACCATATGGAATGCTGGGAATCAAACCCGAGTTGGCCGTGTGCAAGGCAAATGCCCTACCCGCTGTGCTATTTTTCCAGCCCACTTAAGGCTATTTGTGTAAGAATTATTTCTACATTGTCTCTTAAATTGGAAGTTACTCAACCTAGATTTTTCGGAGTTTAAGTTTACTGAGTAAAGGTGTGTTTGCGCTGATACAGAGGGCCTGAGGACCATCTGAAAAAGAACAACTTCTTTTATCTAAAGAGGTTTGTAAAAACTTCTTTGTGTTATTTACCGTTTAATTTAAAGATTTAGTGCCTACCTTCCCTGGACTGAGCTCACTGGAAAAAGACAGAGAATTTCAGATCTGCTTTGGTTTTCAAATTCCCTTGTGTATTGCCTCATGACATGAGATAAGTCATGGATTTCTGCAGGAGACTCTTTACCCCTGGAATCATGAATAGTCTCCAGGATAATTAAACATACCATAAACTGTATGCAAAGGTGGTGAGTGGTTGCAATTGTTTCTTAACAGTCCTGGAGTTTACCAAAATATGAGTGAAATAAACTAAGCCAAGTAAACTCAAGAATCACATTTCAGATCATTTGAGTGGAAAGTCTTTTGTTGAAGGGGAAGTTTGGGGGTTTTGGAGGGGGTCCACACCCGAAAGTGCTCAGGGATTACACTTGGCTCTGAACTAGAGGGTGGATCCCAAGCTGACCACAGGCTAGACAGGTACATTAGCCACTATCTCTCGAGTCCCAATAACTCTTTTAGGTTTGAGGTAGAAAAATATATGCCTGCCAGGAAAGTACGATAAGTCTCTCTCAACTGTGTCTTCTGTCAAAGAAGGGATTTTCCTAGAGTCAATGAACAGATCAGGTTACTTCCATTTCCATCCTTTCTATTTGGGTGTGACTTATCACACCTTCTCTTTACTGTCACTGTCACTGTCACTGTCCTCCCGTTGTTCATCGATTTGCTCGAGCGGGCCCAGTAACGTCTTCATCGGGAGACTTTGTTGTTACTGTGTTTGGCATATCGAATACACCACGGGTAGCTTGCCAGGATCTGTCGTGCGGGCGAGATACTCTCGGTAGCTTGCCAGGCTCTCCGAAAGGGGTGGAGGAATCAAACTCTGGTCGGCCATGTTGGCTTCGTGCAAGGCGAAAGCCCTACCCGCTGTGCTATTGCTCCAGCCCAGTGTTCCCATATCTCTCTAGGCCTGATTAACACAGAAAAGTAGATTTACCTTTTTTCACACTGTGAGTATAAATTAAATATTAGTTTTCAAGATAACTCCTGCAGAGAATTTTCCAAAAACTGAGTCATTGTCAGGCAATGAGTGATCAAAACCTTTAGTTTTCATTGTAGAGGTACATAACAATTTTATCTCAATTTGGTGTATTTCCAAATCTTATTTATTTGTAATTTTGAAAAGAAAAATAGGAAACTAACACATTTTTATGCTGGCATATAATTACCTGGCAGAGGAGATAAAATGGCAAAGTAGGTGTTAGGTGTTTTCCCCAGGGTGAGGCTTATCCATCATTGCACTCCGGATGTGCTGAATCCTCGATTGCCCCAGGTGTGGGACACTGCATATCTTTTGGTAAGTGGGGAATTTCGTTCATACTCTCCCCTGGTTGTTGTATAAAAAATTATGGAATAATGTTTTGATGAGAATGAACTACTGATTTTCTACCCCTCCAGCACAGAATGAATGTATTTATGCAAAATGTTTGCCAGTAATATGATATTTCTAGAAAAGAGTAGATATTTATTCAGTTGTCTGACTAAAAAAATAAAGAATACTTCTGTATGTGTCTCCTTTAAGAACAAAACCATTTCCTCTCTTATCTTTTTCTCAGGAGATGGTGTCAAGTGTGCCCTTGGAAGGCCAGGGCAATCACACTTCCGATTTCGTGTTTGTTCTCCTGGGACTCTCAGATGAAAGAAACCTGCAGCTTATTCTGTTTCCAGTCTTCTTAGGGACCTATCTTGTGACCCTCATTTCAAACTTGACTCTTATTACCCTAATCAGGATGGACTCCCACTTGCATACACCTATGTATTTTTTTCTTAGTTTCCTTTCATTTATAGATGTTTGTTACTCTACTTCAATCAATCCAAGGATGCTTTCAGATTTCTTCAGAGATCAAAAAATAATATCCCCTATTGCCTGTGCTACCCAGCATTTTGTGGCTGCTTGGATGGGTCAGGGTGAGGGTTGTCTCCTGGCTGCCATGGCCTATGACAGATACGTGGCCATTGGTAACCCTCTGCAGTACACAACCATCATGGCACCTGAGCTCTGTCAGATGATGGTGGCTGGGGCTCTTGGAACTGGTTTACTCTGTGGCTTAGTTGAAACAATTCCTGCCTTTAATCTGCACTACTGTGGGCCCAACTTAATTCAACATTTCTTTTGTAATGTTCCTGAGATTATTGTTTTAGCTTGCTCCAGTCCCTTCATCAGCCAAATGGTTCTTTTTCTTGTAGCGACTTCTGTTGGGTTTGGTTCTTTGTTAATTATCTTGCTATCCTATGGGTACATTGCAGCTTCCATTCTGAAAATATCCTCAGGCAAAGGCAGTCTCAAGGCCTTCAATACCTGTGCCTCCCACCTGGCCGTTGTGACCCTCTTCTATGGTACAGCCCTGGCTGTGTATGGAAATCCTAGTTCTGGCCACCCTGATAAGCAGAACAAGATGCTGTCAGTGTTCTACGTTATTATTATCCCTATGTTGAACCCTCTAATCTATAGTTTAAGGAACAAGGAAATCAAGGCAGCATTAAGGAGGGGGATAAAAAGGTCAAGGCAGTAATCTCAGAAAGAATAATTCGCAATGTTTTATTTATATGTATTATTTATAACATGAAAAATTATTTGCCTTAACAGGCTAGAACCTAAAAGAAAGAACAACATAGGATGTTTTTGTGTGTATTGTTTCTTTTTATGAAGATACAGTTATAAAAAAATGTTTATCATTGGAATCATGGAATGGAGAAAAGTAAAAATATGGTTTCTGGGTACTACTATCACTGGAGAGATAGCACAGCGGGTAGGATGTTTGCCTTGCACGCAGCCAACATGGCCTACCCGAGTTCAATTCTTCTGCCCCTCTTGGAGAGCCCAGCAAGCTCTCCAAGTTACTCAAGAGTAAATCACCTTCACAGTAAAGCCTTGCAAGCTACCCATGATGTATTCGATATGCCAAACACAGTAACTCAAAGTTTCACAATGGAGACATTATGGGCCCACTTGAGAAAATCAATGTACAATAGGAGGACAGTTTTAGTGACAGAAAGTGGATGCTATTATGATTATTTTGTTAATTATCTTTTGAATTAATGATTATTAATTTACAGTATAATTTTAAAATTATCATCATTTATTAGGGATTGCAGATACTGAAATAAATGTATCAACTAACTGGACCCACTATGGTAAGATTGATCCCTTCCCCTTTGATACTCCCCTCCTCTTCTGGTTACCACTATTTTGGTTTAAGAGAATAAATTATTTTGTTGTGTTTTAAAGTTCTTTATCTACTTTTCTCTATATGTTGTGTTGGGGAACTGTTATCTCCAAAACGGCTGGACATGTTGCACACCGGAAGCGGGCAGGAACCTGTTCATGGGCGAAGGAGGTCTGCAACCTCTAGGAGCAAATTCAATGATCACAGCTCAACTTCATAGCCAAATGCACACATTTTATAGAGAGTTTTTGCCTACAGGAGGTCCAATCATATTAGAGATTAACACTATTGGCCTAGAACTTTTTCCTCACTGCTTTTTCCCTGGTCTAATTCCCTTCGAGGCTGTATGTTGTAGGTAGAAGGACTTGCTTAAGGAATATGTGACAGTTTCTGCATTTTAAGCATTTGTGACTAGGGGGTCAAGGGAGGCTCAAGGCCAGACACAAGATGCAGACACCCTGTTTTGCTATATTTCTCTGCAGTTATTTCCCTTTGGGAGGTTTCTCCTCAGGGCTGTTTTGCAAGATTGGCTTATTCCTGCACCAGTGCTCGTAGCCTTTTTCCTCAATGTTGTACATAGGACTGCAGCCATTTAGTTATCTTTTACCTTCTAAGTCTTCTTATTCATATTTTGTTATATTTATTATTATTAGTAGTAGTATTTTGGATTTTGGGTCACACCTAGTGATGTTTCTGGTTTCGGCTAGGGGTCACTTGTGATGGTAGTTGAAAGACGATTTGTGGAGCCAGGGATCAAACTTCAGTTGGCTGCATTCCAAGAAAGCACTTTAAGTACCCCTGAGCTATGCAACTGGCCTGCTTCTCAGTATAGTTACTTCAAGTGCCATCTCTTTTGTTCCAAAAAAAGATATTTTATTTTTAATCTCTTAATCACTTAATCACTTAACTTCCCGTTAGTCGTCGATTTGCTCAAGCGGGCACCAGTAACGTCTCCATTTGTCCCTGTCTCGTGCTAGTGTAGCCCAATGGCATCTGTTTGCTCCGGGAACATGAAGGGCCTCAAACCAATCGTTCATGATCTTGACGAAGAAGTCTGACCATCTGGTAGGTGGGCAGCCACGTGGTCTTTTGACATCCCGTGGAATCCAGTCAGTAACAGCTCTAGTTCAGCGGTCATCTTTAAATCTCATTACGTGACCAGCCCATCTGATTTTCGACACCTTGGCAAATGAGACAGCGTCCCTGATTCTTGATCCTCGACGCATGTCAGAACTCCGGATTCTTTCTCTCATTCCGTGATATTCCAAGCATAGTTCTTTCTATTCTTCTTTGGGAGACCTGAATAGCGTTCTCATCTTGTTTGCATAGGGTCCAGGTCTCTGAGGCATATGTTAATGCAGGAGGAACAGTGGAATCAAAGAGATGTGCCCGGAGCCGGAGGTTCTTCATCCTCTTAGCTATTTCTTCGACGTTCTTGAAGGCATTCCAAGCCGCTCTCTTCCTCCTGCGCAGCTCGGGTGCCAGGTCATTTGTCATGTTGACCGCTCAACCTAGGTACACATATCTGTTGCATTCGGAGATGGTCATTCCGTTGAGAGCGAATGGGGCGTCAGGAACGAGGCTGTTTCTCATAAACATTGTCTTCATAAGATTCAGCTGTAGTCCTACATTTCCACACTCACGGTCAAAGTCGGTCAGCATTTGTGCTGCTTGGCTGATGTTTGGTGTTATTAAAACAATGTCATCAGCAAAGCGGAGGTGGTGTAGTTGCCGACCATCTATCTTCACTCCAATTCCTTCCCATTCCAGTCGTCCCATGATGTTCTCGAGGGTGGCACTGAAGAGTTTCGGTGAAATGGTATCACCCTGCCGCACCCCTCTCTTGACATCAACGATCACTTTTTTGTAGAATGGTGAGATCCTGGTAGTGAAGCCGCAATACAGCTCATGGTGGATCCTGATGTATTGGGCTTGAATGCCCTGATTGGCTAGGGCTTCAATGACCGCTTCCATCTCAACAGAATCAAAGGCCTTCTTTAAATCAATGAATGTTAAACAGAGCGGCATCTTGAACTCCCGAGAAACCTCAATGAGCTTAGTTATCGTGTGGATATGGTCGATGGTGCTGAATCCTTTGCGGAACCCAGCTTGCTCGCATGGTTGTCCTTCACCTAGTGTTCTGCCAACCCTATTTAGGATGACTCGAGTGAACAACTTGTAGATGACAGACAATAGGCAGATCGGGCGATAGTTGCCAATGTCATGGATGTCTCCCTTCTTGAACAGTAGTACAGTCCTGCTGGTTTTCCATTGGGACGGAAGCTTGCATTCAGACAGGTAGCGAATGAAGAGCCGAGCCAGTGTATTGATGAGTACTGATGGCAGGTTCTTCAGGTGTTCAGGTCTGACCTTGTCTGGGCCGGGTGCTGTTTGCGTCTTTACCGACGAAATGGTGTGTCGGATTTCGGAAGGGAGAACATTGGTAACGCGACATATCCATCTTGTGGAATTTGGTATATCGGCAAGTGGACATGGCTATCAAAGAGATTTGAGTAGAAGTCATGGATAATCTCCATTGCCGTTCTGGAGGATGTGATGGATCCATCAGGACGTCGGAGGGCAGTCATCTTGGTCTTGTAGTTGGCGAAGGACAGGCGGGCGTTACGAATACTTTTCCCTGCTTCTGCCACATCTACCAGTACTTCTGCTCTTCTCTCTTTGAAGTCTTCCTTGATCGCATCTCTGCACTGGTTTGTGAGCTCGGATGTTAGCTTGCGGTTGCCTGAGGCATGCGCCAAACCACGCTGGCAAATTAGCTCAAGAGTTTTCAAAGATAGGCGATTTTTTGTGGCTATCTCTCTCTTGTCGTTCCTCACACATTCATGGAGGTGCTGAACCAGTCGATCGTATTCCTCGTCAATGTTGTCAACAATGGCATCTTCCCATGTTGCCGCAAGAGTACCAAAGAGTTCCCAGTTGGTGGTCATTCTGGGAGTTCTCTTTTTGAACTTTGCAGCCCTTTCTCCCCACTCTGTGAAGTAGAATTTTGCATGAAGGAGACGGTGGTCCGATCCCGTTCGAAATTTTGGGACAACAGTGACATCGGTCAGGCAAAACCATCGATTGAATATGATGTGGTCTATTTCGTTGTGGAATTGTCCACCGGGAGACTCCCATGTCCATCGTTTAGATTCTGCCTTCTGGAACTGTGAGTTACCATGAATGGTCTTGGTTGACATGATGAACTCAGACAGTCTCTCACCCTGTTCATTCCATTCTAGGCCATGGGTCCCGATGTGAAGTTCTTCAGCTGATCTTCTCAGTCCTATCTTGGCATTAAAATCACCCACAATGATCTTGTAAAAGGTGTGGTCTTCTTTATAGAACTTCTCTAGCTCCATGTAGAACTTCTCGATTTCTCTTTCATCATAATGAGATGTTGGTGCATAGACAACGAAGATAGAAACTGCAGGCAGTGAGCCACATCTATTCAAATGTAAACGTTCGATTCGGGTTGTTAGGCATCCGAATGAATCAATGCTCTTGGCCAAGTTTGTGTTGACAAGGACACTGACGTCTCCAACTTCTCTTTTATCGCATGTTCCGTGGAACAATTCTTCTCCAGTGTCGAAAACGGCATGGTAAGATTCGTGCCTTCTTGTCTCGGTCAGACCAATGATGTCGTACTTGGTCATTCACACTTATACCATCAGGTCCTCGATGGATGCATCTGATGCTAGCGTACGTGCATTGAAAGTACAGACGATCATTTTTGTCTTCCTTCGTTGTGGCAGCCTAGGTCGGCCTTGAGATTTTGTCAGCCTCTCCTTTCTCATCCTTCTCAGTGGTGCCATGTCGGTGAGGCCTTCAGGGTCAGGTGAATGGGACCAGTTGTATTTACTGGTTTTGGCATATCGAATACACATTTTATTTTTAAAAATATGTTTTGTTGTCATCATTAAATTATCTAAGCAACTTCAAAGTCAGGTTTAGGGAAAGGAGAAATAATTCAAGTTACTTATTAGCCTTACACTTAGCTAACCCTGGTTTTAAAACCTTGGCACCATATATTGTCTGCCTGAGAACCATCTCTGAGCACAGAGTCAGGAGTAAGCCTTGAACACTACTAAGTATGGCCAAAAAGAAAAAAACAAAGTCAGCTTAGAACCCTGCTTTCCAGTTAGAAAAGATGAAGTCATGAAATTTACATACAAATGGTACTACATGGAAAGTATCATGTTAAGTGAAATGAGTTAGAAAGAGAGGGATAGACATAGAAAGATCGAATTCATCTGGGGAACATAAAGTAACAAAATAGGGGACTAACACCCAAGAATGGCCGAGATTAGTACCAGGAATTTTGCTTCATGGCTAGGAGGCTAGAC